TGATGCCTCAACACCCCTCGTTGCTGCCCTAACACTGCTTATACCTCTATGATCAGTCTCTTCATTAAAACATTTCTTCAGAACCCCAGCTGAATTTGCCCTCTGTACCTGCCAGGATCCTGATGGACACAGGGACCAGGATTTAACCCTACAAGTTTTATTTTGGATTTAGGACAATTTAAATAAATTTAGTAATTTATTCAAGAAATAGTTACTGAGTGCCTACAATGTACTAAGTACTGAGGATATACCAAAAAACAAAACAAAAAAAGCAGAAACAAAACCTAAAACAACAACAACAGAAGAGATCCAGGCCTCATACAGCACCCAGTCCCTTGGGCAGGGGGTCTCTCAATGTGAGTTTCTAGAGCTGTAGAATGTGGACCATCTTATGTATATGGACAGGCCTGACCCAAACCTGTGCTCAACGAGCATGTATTCCTTCTGTGGCTCGCTGTTTGTGTTGATTTTCCTGTGAAGAAATTTCTTCATTCTTTGTTCCTCTTCTGTTGGCTTAGGGAATCAACAGCTGAATCCAATTGAAAGAGTTTTGCTTCTTCGTTTTAACCTGTATACAAGGAAGTTAGGCCTTTGACCTTTTGAGTTGACACAGTGTTGTCATGGAGCAGAGCATGTCAGTGTGCATGGCTCTGGATTTGTCCTGTACCCTTCCTCTGCCCGTAGCAGACGAACCCTCTCTGTAACTATCAGTATCACTGAGATAGACAGAAAGGACGGACAGAGTGTCAGAGATGGGAGGGGAAGTTAGGAATTACTTACAAGAGAGGAACCTGAGGCCTGGTGAGGGTGTGACATGCCCGTTGTCACAAACCAGATGGTGGCTAGGCATGGATTGAAATCTTGTCCTGTCTCTTGCCAGTGTTCTCTGTGTCAACATGAGACCTATGACCGCTTTCAGATGGTCAGAAGATGAATGTGTCTTTGAAAATAACCTCATTCTCTGTACGTGAAACAGCGCTTCGTGGAGAACAGGCCATGCGTGTTCCAAACCCTGCTTCTCCCCAGTCTAGAGAGTTCTCGCATTTCCTCCACTCCACAGCCGAGCGGCTGGGGACCTTCTGTGATTCAGTTCATTACTTTGTGGTGGCTCCAAGTTGTAACGTAATTCTCCAAAGGGACCTTTCTCATCTCTTCCTTTTTAAAATGAAATCTTCCCTTGGCATTTCTCTCAGGCACTTCTCCAGGTACGGATGAGGGGGACAAAGAGGCAGGGGAGAGGCCTCCGGGCTTAAATGCCAGCACTCCAATTAAAGGAATGTTTAACCTTTGTAAATAAAGCCCCTGCTCAGCCTGCTTCTCAGGTGGGGGCAGGAAAATTAACTGATTTAGTATGAAGCCCCATACTGAGAGGAGAGGACTGGTGTTTATAACATCTTTCCTGGCAGAGGGAGCTCAGCCTGCTGTTAAAAATTATTCTCTCTGGAAGGCCAACTGGCAGCATATCCAGGCAGGCACGCAGAGCAATAAGCCACCTCCTCAGGTGCCCTCCCTGGTGAAGGGGACTGTTTACCTACCCATTTGGTTCAAAAACCCATCGGTGGGTCTGGTCCAGCGGCTTGGTTTCCATTAAGAACATGAGAAATAAAACTAAATGTGAAACAGCAAACAGTGGGAAGATGAACAGAAAATAGAATTGAATATTTAACACACCCTTGGATGGGGAAGACCTTCATGGTTTAGAAGCAGTGCAAGAAACCACAAAGAGAGCGGAAAGACCCTAAGTATATGTCCGTATAGATATTTAAAGGCAAATAAGCTGAAAAATGCTTGCAACAAATATGACCTCTAAAGGCTGTTATTATTCCTTGTGATGAATCCATTCATGCAGCGTTTATTGGGCTGGCTGCTAGAGACAGAGACCAGACTCAGCACCCTCGATGCTACCTCCAGGGGGACATAGAGGGTATCATCCTCGTTTCTAATATCCTGTTTATTCGTTGACGGTGGTGGTAGGTTGAGGGGGCTCCTTTGTACATATTCGTACTTACTGATCTGAAAAGCAATAGGGTACCATTAGGTAAGTGCACAAAGAGCAAGAACTGGAGATTGTCAAAAGAGGAAACGTATTTGGTGAGAAAATAATACATAAAAATCCTCAATCTTGTTAATAATAACTGATGTACAAATTAAAATGAGATGGTTTTAGACCATTAAATTACCAAACTTATTTTTGTAATGTTAATAACCAAGGCTAGCACAGATGTAGAGAAATAAGTAATGTCATGCTCTTGTAAATAAAGAAAAGGTCTTTGGATGGTATTTTGGCAGTATTTACTGAAAGTCTTTAAAATGTCCCTATTATTTGACAGTAAATGCACTTTTAGGAATTTATGCAGAGGAAATAAAGATGCAAGCAAAGATTTATATATAAGAATATTATAGCATATATAGTCTCTTGGAAAAAAAAGCAATTTTAGTGTTCAACAATAAGCAAATGGACAATTAAATTAAGAAACATCAGCACAACAGTTTATTTTGAGTAAAACTTGTGATATCATCAGCTGGAAGAATATTTAATAATAACAGACATGCTCATGATGTAACAGCAAGTACAAAAAGTGGCGTACAAACCACATGAGTCATTTGATCCCAATTTGGTGAGAAAAAGGAAATAAACAAACAATGCGTTCATGTATTTGAAAGCATTTATTTGGTTTATCCCCAAAATTCCTCAAATTGTAACAATATTCTGGTGTAAAATAATTTTAAAGAATGTGTGTATGGTTCAATTACATACACATTTGAATTTTAGAAGTGTTAACATGTTATGAAAACAGAAAAAATTTGTATTTTGGAGGAGAAGAAATACAGCATTGGCACATGGTTCTACATGGGAGATTTAGAAAAAGAGGAGGAGAGCCTGTAGCAGGATGTTCTCGTCTGTGGGTAGGGTGGTGAGCTGTCCAACAGACAGGAATCCGTGGGGTTTTCCTCTCCTCTGGAGGGAGAGGGTAGCAAATCGCCCGCACCTCCTGTTTCTCCAAAAGATTCTGTGGGTCCCTGGATTTCACTTAAAGATTCCCCTTTAGAAAGATCCTCTTGACTCCCTGAAGGGGGCTTCCTCCTGAGAAGTGGTGGGAGACACTGTAGAAATAGATTTGAATGTAACACTGGTTTTGAGGGTTGAGAAGGATGAACTCTGGGGCTGCCAGTGCTGAGTCCCTGGGGATAAAAGACAGACAATGGTTCTGGGACTATAGGACCAACCCACACCCAGCACCCTGCCACTGCAGGCACCCTGAGAGCGGTGGTGTGTGGGAAAGCTCTGGGGTCTGTGATCTTGGTCACCCACATTCAGGGCCCTTGCCCAAGGTCTGCGCTGAGAGGAAAAGGTCTTTTTCCTGGTGAAGCTGTGATGGGTGGTCGGCAATTTTGGTGTCAGATAGTGGGGACATGACGCTCAGCAATCAGGCACCACAGGGAGCTCCCGGCTCTAACATGTGATGGGTGCAAGGATGGTAGTAGTTGAGGCAGAGATTCTTGAGTGCACATGTCAGATCCCCCCGTTTTGGACCATGGAAGCCCCCAGCATCTTTGGACAATTCAAAGAGAAGAGAAACTTCAAGAGGAAAAGCGAGACGTCCTGCTAATAAGAGATGAAAAGGCTCAGTTATTCATTGGAAGAATAAAAGCCGTGAGACCAACGATATGCCTCCTATGGTTGTGAAGCGGTTGTATCCATTATTCTGCGACGAGCATATAATGTTTTATAAAGATATAAAGAATAAACTTGAAGCCACCTCACTCCCTGTCCCAAGAGTTATGCAGTGGGGGAGGTGGTTCTATGGGATTCAAACCCAAATGGCCACGCAGGTAACCAGGTGGATGTGTGGGCCCTTCACAAATGCATGCAAACATTCTATCCTCCTAGGCCCTCCCTTTACATCTGAGCATGGGTTGGCATATCAGCTCCATCCCGGCATGTGCCCGCAGCTTCACCCTAGGCCTCGGAGGGCATGTCAGCAGTCTCTGGGGTGTTTGGCAGGCCTGTCAGACGCCTGCTTCTATGTGGAGATACAGAGCCAGAGTGTTTCTGACATCGACGGGCTACTCCTGAGCTTCTCGATGACTTTGAGCAGAGAAATCTTAATCCCAAAGCAACAGATACCCTTCTGTACCCCAGGCACTGAATAAATCAGTGGAGATCTCAAACTCCATAATTCTAACAGAGCCATCTCTGATGGCTGCGGCAATTTGCTCTCTCGTGGGTTAGCGACCGGCCGTAATTGATGAGGGAACTGACAGCTCTTTGTCTTCCTTCACTACATTTGTCATTTGGCAGCTGGCTTATTCTTTATCTATTGCCTGTGACTCCCTCTCTCTCTCTCTCTGTCTCTCTCTCCCTGGGCACTTGTGGAGCAGATGTACCGCCTTCTCTCCCTACAGACAAGATCTATAAAGCCATAACATGTTTTGAATGCAGTTCAGCTTTTTGAAAAATGCATAATTGGAGAGTTCCAAAATAATTAGTTTATTACAGTGGGCCTGTAAAAATGAACTTGCATCTCATTTATGAGCCATTAGATCCCATGTTCTACCAGCCTGATTGCTATTAATGCTACCAGCATACAATTTAGCATATTTTATTAAAACATGTCACAATTGAGCATCTCTTGCTCCCAGCCCCCACGTCTGGGGGCAGGGCTGGGTGGTAGTGCTGAGAATTCTTCCCATAGCAGGCCTACAGCTTGCTTTCTTTATTTACTTATGGTAAAATATACATTGCATGCTCACTGTTAACCATTTGAAGCATACAGTTCAGCGGCATTAACCACATTCATATTGTTGTGCAACCATCACCACCATCCACCTCCAGAACGCTTTTCATTTAACAAAACTGAAACTCTGTACTCCTTCAACAATAAATCCCCAATGGCCTGTAGCTTTTGCTACAATTGTCCCCTCCCCACACCCCTGGTGAGTTGCATTGTGAGGCTCTCTTCCATGAGAACATATGACATTCATTCCGTTTCTTTCAGGGGCAGTCAGGCAAAGGAAAGAGCTAAAGCATTGACATGATGAGGAGGAGAGAAGAGAAAGAATTCAGAACATGAAACACGTGGCAGGACCCACAGGTTAAATGGTCGTTGTTCCAGGAGGTAAGAGCAATGAACACCTTTGTAGACACGAGGTTGGATTTTTTTCCAATAATATAATGAAAATCAAAATATTTATTGTGTATCTTCTGTAGGTCTTCCACACGCACCTGTGTAGGGCATGGAGGGATGAAGGAAGAGCAAGTCCCATCCCCTGCTTAAGGAACTGATGGTTTGGCGGGAGAGAAGGGCAAGATGGTGAAAATTTGTACAATGCCACAGATTAACGCTAACGACTCTGTAACAAATGCTTCATAAGGGAATCGGAATTGACTGCAGTCCTGGAACATTGGAGGGCTGTACACAGGAGAGGATAAAGAATCTGGCTGTGAGGGTGGGACACATAAGAAAAGCTCTTCATCTCCCCCTCAGCCCCATAGATGGCTGCCCCGGGTGGGGAGTAAGGGGAAAAGGCTGCCCCTAGGTGGAATGCTGGAAAGGGCTAGTGGGCCACAGCAGGACCTCTGTCCTAGAGCCCAACACATAGTGTGCATGCCCCCAGCCATGGTCCAGAGATTCTGAGCATCAGCATGACGTGATATCCCTTTCTGCCCGCATGGATGTCATCAAGGGACTGGCTGGAAGGTAGCAGAAGCCCAGGAGCCTAGCACACAGAAGGAGATAGTGACTCTGCCTCATTTCTGTGTGGGGTTTCCCCCTCTTTTTCCCTCTTAAGAGGGCAAGTTGGACTTTGTGACTTGCTGCTCTGGGCTTACTCCAGGGACAAGATAAGAATCTTCCATTTTTTAGAAAGCAGGCTCATAGAAGAAAACAGCTGGATTGTCACAAAAAAATGGCATCTAAACAATGGAGGGATCTGAAGTTGAAGGCAGGGTGATTTCTGAGACCAGCGAAGGATGTAGAGGTGGTGCTTCCACGTGACACCTCAAGATGGTTAGGACCCCTGAGAGGGGCGGCGCAAGGATGCTTGGAGACTGATTCCAAACATCAAGGTCATGGCACCCGGAAAGAAGGACTTATGAAGGTTGCCAGACGATAGTGTACCCTGTGAGTGCTCAGGAGCCCTGCTTCCTGGCCTAGCAATACCATGTGGACTTGGACCAGGAGCATCTCGGAGCTAACCACAACGGACTGAGACCAACCAGGGCACTTCCTAGAATGTATGGATGTCTTGATCTCCCCACCCCATGCCCATGACTCTTGTAAAACCCTGTAAAAGAGGAGAGGCCCAGTAAAAGCTGATATCTGTATCTAAACAATCTTGCCAAGGGTATTCCAAGCCTAACTTAGTTTGATTAGGGAAAAAAAATAACACAAGAGCTTTTGCTCCTGAACGCTAAGGAACAGATTCTGCTATGTAGACAAATAGAGCCTTGGAAGGAAAAATGGATCGTGAGAATCTGGTGGGAGGTGGCGTTTTACAAGACTCACCAAGGAAAAATTCTATAGCCTGGTCCACTCTAGGGGAAAACCTACTACATTTAATTTCTTGGAGTTAAAAATGTTGAATCTCACCAAGTTTTTTATATATAAAAACTTTTTTAAATAGTTGTTTTACATCTAACTAACAACAATTGCTTTATGAAAAGGTGACTTATGAAACCATAGGGTATGGTAAAAGGATACCAAAAACGAGAATAAGAAGGAGGAGGAGAAGGAAGGGAAAGAAGAAGAGGAAGAGGAGGACGAAGAAAGAGAGGGCAGCAGAGTGTCCCTGGCTGTGACACTGGTTGGCAGTGAAGTTTTGTGTAAATAATTTCTGAGCCCCACTTTCTAGTTCTATAAAATAAAACAATGGGGTTGTACTAAATCTTTTCTTCCAACAAAATTTTACGTAGAAGTCCAGGATATGCAACAGACAACAATGGGGCTGCTGAGATCAAGGAGATGATGTGTGTGTGTGTGTGTGTGTGTGTGTCTGTGAATGCAAAGACATTAGCTCTATTTTGGGGCAAGGTGGAGAAGCTTTGTGTGCCCAGGGAACCTCTCTCTGGTTGAATGTTCTCTCAGTCAGTGCCCAGAAGTATCTGGAAGGCATTGGGAGAGGAGATCAGAGGCATTTGGCTCAGGGAAGGGCCTGCAAGAGTGTTAGTAATCCCCCAGCTGGCCCAGAGTAGAAATGCAGGCATGACAGAAAAATGTCCAGACCACGCTGACATCAACTGAGATGTCCCCTCAGAGGAAATCCAAAGTATCTGACATATTTTTGACTGGTCTGCCAATTTCATTTCCCAGAGGGTAGAAGAGGCAACAGCAGGATCTACTACTCTGGGCTTAACTCCAGCCAACAGAGTAAACCTGGTGGAAGCGATGGGTCCTGAGAATAAATGAGGACAGCATGAGTTTGTGGTAACCAACTGGGGAGGGCTCACTACAGTGAGAGACACTGTGCAGCCCCTGCTAGGGGTCAAGGGGCTTGAAAAAATAATCGGTACCATTCCTGGAGGTTGAATGGCTCTAGCAAGGCGGCCAAGCACTGAGTGCACAATTTTACAAGGCCCTAAAGAGGAAGTAAGGGGGGAATCATAAGAAAACTGTCTGCTGAGCTCAGGTGTAAAATGGCACATCTGGAAGAGGGAATGAGGGCATGTGGCCCAGGAAGGATTTGCAGGAGAAGTGTGATGATTATAAATAAAGCAAGTGAACGGTCAAATATGGGCACGGTCCTTGCCTGCTCTGACGGGGAGGTGAAGACGGATGGAACAGGGATAGATACTGTGGCCCCCAAGTGAGTTCTGCCTTCTCCATCAGAAGAGTGAATTTTGGCCTGGAAACTCCGGCATCGAGTGAGAAACAGCCTGATGGGGAGGGAGCAGTGGGTGAGGTTATGAGGCTGAGGACGGAGGCCTCACCTGCTGTGTCATTCTGTGCTTCCATCTCCTCCTACACAAAACAGAGGCAGTAATTCCTATCAGTAGTTCTCATTGTGTGGGCCTCATGATGATGAGCGTCATCCCTGTAGCAGCATCAGCATCACCTGGGAACTTGTCACAAACGCGAGTTGTCAAGTCTTACCTCAGACCTGCTGAATCAGAACATCTGAGAGTGGGACCTGGGAAGCTGTTTAACAGGCCTATCAAGATTCTGACACCTGCTCAGGTTTGGAAGCCTGGTCTATATCATGTGGTTGTCAGGAGGCTTAATCAACGGCAGGTATGGGAAACCCTTGCACACTGCAAGACATCTTGAAACTATTAGATTTTAGTACATGTGTTCAAATGTCCTGGCTTGGACGAACTACGTCCCCAAATCTTGCCCAGACTGCAGATGAGATCACCCAAGTGCTCTCAGCTCGCAAAGCACGTTTCAAAAAGAGCAAGTCGGACACTTTCTAGTCTCACCAGACAGAAAGGTTGCAGGAGGAAGTTATAAGGAACAGTTGGAGTAGCTGGAATAGTTCTCTTTCTCTCCAATACTTCCCTCAAGCACCTTCCTCCTTTCATTTACTCAGAGCAATAAATATAATTGACAGTGCACGGAGCTCCTACACGCAGGGAAGCATAAATGATTTCTCCAGCTTTGGAGCACTAATTTGTAACATAGATTAAATTGGGCTTCAGACTGGGGAGGGACTGCACCTTTAAGATTTGCCAGGTCATTTAGGGAACTCACTCACTTTACACATTAGTATGGATTAGAATGTGTCAGTACCAATATGGGCATTTCCCTGTTGTCACATGATGTTAGAGGAACAATTATTTCACGTCTGAGTAAAAGTCTTACTCGGAGGCTAAGTTAACGTAGCGTATGGAACTGCGTGGGAACAGGGCTGGCACGGCTTGCGAACACAGGCAATTGCCCATTACAGTGCTGGTTAACATATTGATTCCACTTCATCTGCTTTACTGTATATGAGACGATCCTTGTTTTGCTTAGAAGAGGCCTCGGCCCCTCTGAACTCGGAACGATGTAACACAGACTCACAGTTCGGAGGTTAAAAGGGAATTGATCTGTGAGCTCTCACCAATTCCTAGCTCTGCTCCCTGCTCTCTGAAGGATAAATCTCCTTTTCAGATAATCCAGATTGCTTTTGCAAAAGATTGGCTTTTGGCCTCCCCTGCTGAACAGTACTTTGACATAACCTGGGCAGCCTCCCTATGGCTAGGAAGAAATCACTTCTAACATCGGAGGTTAACGCACTAAATGAAGCGTTGGATTTTCTTTATGGAAGCGAGGAGAATTGTTTGGATGAGGTTAGAAAAGGCTGGGTGAGCTCCAAGAACATTCCCTGGGGCTCCACCCCCACATGAAGCTCTACCGGACATTTATTGCAGGCTAAATGAGTAAACAATAGAAAAAACCTCTCATCTTTGCATACCCTTTACATTCCAAGCCGTTTCTCATCCATTATTCCAAGGGCTTTATGAGATCAACAGGATGGGTGGAATTAGCCCCATTTGTCAAAGGCGTAGACTGAGCTAGAGAGTTGAACGTGGCTTGCCATTCATCACACACTAAATTATGCCTTACAAGGAGGGATCCCTGGTCTCTTCCACTGAGGTGTGGTCCCCACTCATTCAGTAAGTCTGACTCCAAGTGTTTGCAGAAGGGAAAGGGAAAAGAAAGAGATGTGCAAAGAGACAAGTCACATCATCCCAACCCAGGGGAATCCCAGCTTCACCTCCCTCCAGGCCTCAGGATCCCTGTCGTTACTGTGCTCCTTAGGAACGTTTTACCTGGGGAGAGACCTTGAGTTCTCTTGGAAGGCCCAGCCAGCAGCAAGGACTAGTTGATGTGATGTGTTTAAATCCCCCACTATGACTTGGTGGGAGGCCAGGTCCTGGAAGACTGGGAGAGAGAGGGTCAAGGATCGGGTCATATCCAGGGCTGAAGGGGGCTGCATCAGCCCCCCTGCCTCCCCGGTCTAGCAGATGCTACAGGCTCTTGAGGTATAGAGGTGTTTTATTTGTATGCAAGGGGGTGGCACACAAGACCCAGAAGAGTCTTATCAAGAAATTCCTAGGAAGTAGCCTTTCAAGAAGAAAGAGGCCTATTGTCTCCTGAAAATAGGGACAAACTAAAGGGGACAGGTGATCAGTCTCAAGAACATAAGAGAATAGAGAAACCTTTGGGCTTCTGATAACCAAACCTAAGTTCAAGCGAGCAGAGGATGAAGATCTGTCAGACTTCCCCATGCCAACAACTATTTGGAGAGCCCTTGTTTGTTTCCTCTAATCGTTAGTAAAAAAACATGGGTTATGGGTTGAATTGAATCCTCCTCCAAAGTCATATAATGGAGTCCTAACCCCCAGTACCTCAGAATGTGACTTTATTTGGAGATAGTGTATTTACTGAGGTAATCAAGTTAAAATGAAGTCATTAGGGTGGGTCCTAAATCAATATGACTGGTGTCCTTATAAGAAGGGGAAATTTGGGGGCCGGCCCCGTGGCCGAGTGGTTAAGTTCTCGCACTCCACTTTGGCGGCCCAGGGTTTCACCTGTTCAGATCCTGGGCGCGGACATGGCATCGCTCATTGGGCCATGCTGGGGCAGCATCCCACATGCCATAATTGGAAGGACCCACAACTAAAAAGATACAACTATGTACCAGGGGGCTTTGGGGAGAAAAAGGAAAAATAAAATCTTTTAAAAAAAAAGAGGAAATTTGGACATACATGAACAGAGGGAAGACCACGTGAAGACACAGGGAGAAGCTGGCCATCTACAAGCCAAGGAGAGAGGCCTGGCACAGGTGCTGCCCGTGGAGCCCTGAAGGAACCAACCCTGCGGACACTTTGATCTCGGACTTTCAGCCCCAGAACCATGAGAAAATAAATTTCTCTTGTTCAAGCCACCAAGTCTGTGGTACTTAGTTACAGCAGCCCTAGAAAATGAATGCACTCTGTTAAAATAAAAATGGCTGCCACAACATGGATGCACCTCAAAAACATGCTGAGTGAAAGCAGCTGATACAAACAGTCACCTGTGGCATGATTCCATTTAGATGAAATGTCCAGAATAGGCAAATTCATAGACACAGAAAGTTGATTAGTGGTTGCTAGAGGCTGGAAAAAGCGGAGAGTGAGGAGTGACTGCTTACTGGATCTGGGGTCTCCTTTGGGGGTGATGAAAATCTTCTGTAACTGTGGTGGTGATGATTGCAGGACATTGTGAATGTATTACAGATCAATGAATTATACACTTTAAATGTTCACTGAATTAAGGGGACAGGAAACCACGTGACTGTGCCCTGTTTGTGATTGTGCTGATCCCTGCACATCATCTGGATGAATGCCTGGAGTGGACGTATGTCCTG